AGGTCGGGTTTTGGCGGAGAAGTTGTCGACACTGATAGCCGCGTGCAGCGAAAAACATAAGATACTCTTGCTTGGTACAATTCTGGCCATACCCGAACTCCGTCAGATAAGAATTTAATATCGCATCAACCGCTGTGATCTTCCGCGTGAAGTCCCTCAGCGACATCTTCGGGTCGGCTAGCACAAAACTATTAATATCATCCGCAAACTTTACGTGCTCATGTCGGCTTGTAGTCCCTGCCACGATGCTCGCAGTCGCTTGGACTGTAGATCAGCTTGGGACTCACCATACCTCCAAGATAAAATTGGACGTGCGAACGTGCCCACAAAAGCTCGGACAGCAAATGGATCCCCCATCGTGTTCCCCTGAGTAGGTCGAACCGTGAGAGGGCCTTCCAGCGCTTCCAGAGAAACAATTGCATTCTTGTATCGTTGTTGGCATAAAGTGTGATCACATTCACGGGAGTGAAGCAGTACGGTTTCATCTGACTGATCCCATTGAGAGCTGCCGAAAGCGTTGGACATATCTTTGAGCGTCATGGCATGCGTGATACCCTGAGCCCGTAAGCGCCACGATGTAATCAGCGCTCCCATGACAGCATCCTCGCGACGACGGTGTCGGTAGTAACCGTGGTCTTGGACAGCCGGGGGTGGAGTCAACAGCGTCGAGTAGTATGCCTTCCCGAAAGCTGCCATCACGTGCACCACACGACGACCGCGAGGACCAGCAAGATTAGATTCGCGTATGCCTGCCCCCTCCGTCCGATGCCAGTAGAGCGGGCTAATGCTGTGCATCCTGATTTTGGCTAAGCCCACTTCCACCAGAAATCTGAAACCTGACGTCGACGGCACACTCAAGTCAGCTCCTATGCCCTGGCCACGTCGCTGTCGGAGGGCTTTGTTTGGTAAGAAAAGCATCAGCCAGAGCTCTAACGGTGCCGTCGAATCTGGAACTGCTCGTCGTTTAGCTGCGTGTCGCATCCAACGAATAACTCGATCAACCTCATCCTTATATAGATCAATAATCTCTTCAGTATTTTCCCAACGATACTGCTGGCCATTCCTCTCATCACGCCATTCAAACCAATTCTGAGGGTGAACTGCCATACCGCCTTGTGAGTCTTCCAGGGACCACACATTCAACCATGCCTCTGAAGGAGGTGGTGTAGTCCGAACAAGAAGCCCATCACGTTTCTTTGGTCCTATACGTGTGCGCGCCGCTCGTCGTGCCAACTTCATTGCTTCTGCTTGCTTCTGATGATTCCACAGGTCGGTCGCTTCCGCCACCAACTGAGATTGAAGGGCACGGGCAGCTTTACGTCGTAGAAGTCGCTGCTCTTGAGATATGCGCTTGAGTTCAGCATCGATGTGAATAGCCTCCTCAGGGGAGGCCTCCATCCTACCTTCGCGTATGTCTGCTCGCACATGAAGTAAGCGGCGTCGTTCTCTGCACTCAGCCTGTCTCCGAGGGTCACCACCAAGCGTCGCCATGCTGAAGTGAGCTTGTCCAGCCGTCGTGATACAATCTTCCAGCAACTCAAATATCTCATCAGGGGAACCGTAATCTCGCATATGTTGGTACACGCCGCGCTGGTCCAACTGCTCTTGAACTGATGCGAGAAAGCCAGCCTCATGTTGTCCGCGTTGAAGGACTGACATCAATTTATCAGGATCCCAGCGAAGGCGTGTCTGGGCGTCCGTAGGCCGATCCTGTGCTGCGCGTACCACAGGGTACATTCAATCGTTAGGTGATCTCGAGGACTAGGGCCCTGGTACGCCTGAAGTCGAGCACCGAGTCGTCGAAGTACGTGCGAATGTGCAATTGAATCTTCCATTCCACACGGTATAAAGAGATAATCAATGCGAGACCTACCTCCATCTTGTCCATAGTAAGGTGGAATAACAGAATCCCCTCGGGCGTTAGTCGCCATCATTTCATGAGACTCTAAAAGTTCACGGAGTTGCTCACCTGCTCCCTTACGCAGTCGCTCGGGCGAGGGAGCCTGCACGACGACCGTCTCGATCCCTCCTCCACCCACGGGCAGGCCTATCCCGTCGTTGGCGTCGCAGAATATCACGGGTGTAGTCCTGTGCGGCAGCGCAGAGAGGACGTCGCTAAGCCACTCGATAAGAACACGAACAGTGCGAAGATAGTGCGGACGATGCTGGAGGCGAGACGGCTTCGGTGGAAAGTAGAGACTTATCCCACAGATATCGCTTCTCCCCCGTTTGACTCGAACTCCAAGACACCACCCCTTGGCCTCCGCTGGGGAAGCCCACGTCTGAATAATATGCTGCTCCTGGAAACCTTTCCCAAGAATGACAGAGCACCCAGCACTCGAGTTACTCAAAGGAGCCGATGGACCGAAGGGGGCCTCCAAGACTAAACGTCCCTGAACATGTCGCCGAAGAACAACGCTCCCAGAAAATTGCTGCCTCCGATCCACCGCCTGAGTCCCAGATAACAGAATCAGGTCAAAATTCGACGTCTCCACCACCACCTCTTCAAGCCTGTCGCCCGTACAAGACTGAGGATTCCACCCCAATAAGCGGAGCTGCTTCTGCGCCATCACCGCCCTCAGAGGACCGGCCGCAACTGGGGCATGTGAGGCCCCTTCACGATGTACGGTGAAAAAGAGAATCTGCCCCTGGGAATGGAGGTCTCGATAGAAAGGGGCTAGGAGGAGGAGGAGGAGCAGGAGGAGGAGGAGGAGGAGGAGGAGGAGGAGGAGGAGGAGGAAAAATGGAAAGGACGGAACAGGATGGGGAGCGGCGAGGATGAGGGCCGCCTTTGGCAGCGCCCCTCCCCCAGGGGGGGGAGCGAGGTGCTGCCGCACCTGCTTGTCCTCCGCCGCTGCCGCCGTTCTTGCCGGTTGGGCCGCACACCGGCATCCATGCACCACTGCCAGCTCTGGCCAGAACGATCCTCAGATCTCCGGTTTCTTTTTGGTTCGTTTGTTGTTTTTGTTTTCAAGTTTTAGATAATCATATTATTATCATTTCCCCCCTTTGGATGTTTTTCCTCGATGTCGGCTTCTGGGGCTCGTTTTCGGACCCCTGGGCCATCAGAAAGGGATCCGGGGCGAACCGCACGCGGGGACGGTGTCGAGAGCTCCGGGGCCGCGGATCGAACAAATCAGGTCGGAGGATGTTTGGGCTTCCAGCCTTGGCCAGAGGCATTCTCCAGCTGTTACCAGGGGGGCTCCTCCTCCTCCTCCTCTCCTCCTCCTCCTCCTCCTCCTCTCCTCCTCCTCCTCCTCCTCCTCCTCCTCCTCCTCCTCCTCCTCCTCCTCCTCCTCCTCCTCCTCCTCCTCCCCTCCCCCTCCTCCTCCAGGAAGGCCCTGAGAGGCCCAAGGTGGGCCCAGCCTTGGCCCAGTTTCGAAGAAGCTGCACGAACACGTGCTCGTGGAGGCCCGCGCGGGTGTCTCGGATCGGGGCTGAGCCCCTCCCTGGCGCGCGGAGCGCGCCCGGGGCGGCCCCGCCCCAGAGGCGCCGCCAGGGGGGGGGTCGGCGCCAATCCGAGAAGTCCGCGCGGAGCTCCAAGCCTGCACGTTTGTGAAGCTTGTGCTTCTTCCAGAGCCACCAGTCGGCTGGAGGAGGAGGAGGAGGAGGAGGAGGAGGAGGCGGAGGAGGGAGGAGGAGGAGGAGGAGGAGGAGGAGAAGGAGGAGGGGAGGAGGAGGAGGAGGAGAGGAGGAGGAGGAGGGAGGAGGAGGAGGAGGAGAGGAGGAGGAGGAGGAGGAGGAGGAGGAGGAGGAGGAGCAGGAGGAGGAGGAGCAGGAGGAGGGCCCGGCCCAAGGGTGGCCTCCAGGGCACCCGCCTGGGGCCCAGAGCCCGGCACCCGCCGACGCCACCAGGCAGACGCACACCGCCCCACTCGCACAAGCGCGGGCGTGCCCTGCCTCGGCGGCTCCTGAGTACTCGGGTCGCCCGCGACGCCCCGGAGACCCCGCGGTGGCCCTGGCGCACGCTCCTTCTTTTTTTCCTCCTCCTCCTGCTCCTACTCCTCCTGCTCCTCCTCCTCCTCCTCCTGCTCCTCCCCCTCCCCTCCTCCTCCTGCTCCTGCTCCTCCTCCTCCTCCTCCTCCTGCTCCTGCTCCTCCTCCTCCTCCTCCTCCTTCTCCTCCTCCTCCCCCTCCTCCTCCTCCTCCTTCTCCCCCTCCACCTCCTTCCAGGAAGGCCCTGGGAGGGGGAGGGAGAGGCCCTGTGCCCTGAGTGACCCCTGGTTCGCCGCCTTCGGGGGGCACGCGGGGGAAGGCCAGGCCCAGGCACGCACGCACGCTGCCGCCGCACTGCAACCGACGATCGGCAGGCCGAGGGCACTCCTTGCCTGGGGCCACTTGCGCATGGGCGAGTAATGGGCAACGGGGAACAAAGAATGACATAAGCATAACAACTCGGAGGTCCGCGCGGATTTCTGGATCCGCGCTGTGCCCCCCCCCCCCCCCACGGCGCCTCCGGCGCCGCCCTTGGCGTACTCCGCGCGCCAGGGATGGGGGTCCGGCGCAGATCAAAGAAATCCCCCCGGACCTCCACAAGCTCATTTTGATGCCGTTTTTTTTCTTTCTCTTCTTCTTCTTCTTCTTCTTCTTCTTCTAACGGGCCCTTCTTGCGCCAGTCCTGTGCCCCCGGGGACCTTCCCTCCAAAGCGGGATGCCCTGTCGGCTCTGCAGCGTGCGTAGACATCTCCTGGTCCCGGCCAGGAGGGGCGTGCGCGGAGGGTGCGCGCCGCGCTGGCGCGGCGGGGGCCACGCCGCGGGCGTTCCAGGTGGAGCGCCGCGGGTGGCCCAGGCTCGGCCGATTCGGAACGATCCGCGCTACAGTCGGGGCCCTGAAGAAGGAACCCTTTTCGTTGGGGAGGGGCTCGGTGTTCCTTAAGTGTTCCTCGGCTTGCCTCAGGGTTTCCTTCTGTTGTCGACAGGAAATCGAAGGTTAACTTATGGAAAACAGGGGCCTTGTTCCTTAGGTCAACGCCCCGACTGTATCCGAAGGCCCCCATCGTCATGGCGGATCGGTCCACGCCCCAGTTAGAGACCAGCGCCGACGCCGACACGACGAGGGCCCGGGCCCGTGCAAGAGGCCCGGGCCCAGCATGAGCCTGGCCAGGGCTCGCTGGTGGTGGATGAGCTGCCGCGACCTACTGTTAGGTCAGCACGTGCGAATTGGCGCCACCTCTCGCCTGGGTCGCCGCGAGGGGTCGCGCCAGCGCGATCGGCACAATTCGTGTAGGCACTGGCCAACGCGGGCATTCGGCAGGAAATCACGCGGCAATCGAGCGGAACTGCTATCATGTTGAGGGGAAGTATGAGGTTAGATAAGGAGGACTGCGTAGAGGCGGAGGATGCGGACGAGGACGAGCATGACGAGGATGATGATGGTGGCGGTAACGACGACGACAATGATGACGTTGATGGGACGTGAGGTTAATGATAGAAAGTCTGCTGCTGCTGATGATGATGCTAATGCTGATGATGCTGCTGCTGCTGATGGTGATGATGGTGGTGGTGGTGGTGATACTTACGACGGCGAGGGTGTTGATGAGGATGAGGATATTCATATATATATATATTAAAAAAGAGGAGGGGCATTCTGACTTGAAGGAATGGTAGAACGATATACAATCTGGACTGGAGGAGCTGGACGAGTTGTAGAGAGAGGAGTAGGAGAAAGAGGACGACGAGCAATTGTGAGGAGGCTGATGGTGATGACGACGATGACGATGATGATGATGATGATGATGATGATGATGATGATGATGATGATGATGATGATGATGATGATGATGGTGATACTGCTGCTGCTGCTGATGATGATGATGATGATGATGATGATGAGGATGACGGTGGTGTTGATGATGATAATGCTCATGATGTTGAAACTGCTGCTGCTGCTGATGCTGATGCTGCTGCGGATGATGATGAAGAGGATGAGGATGAGGATGAGGCTGGGGCTGAGGATGATGATGATTATGATGATGATGCTGCTGATGATGATGATAATGCTGCTGATGATGATGATGATGATGATGATGCTGGTGGTGGTGGAGGTGATGCTGATGCTGCTGATGCTGATTATGGTGCTGATCATCATGATGCTGATGATGACGATGCTGATGATGCTGATTGTGATGCTGCTGCTGCTGCTGATGATGATGCCGATGATGATGGTGGTGGTGATGATAATGACTATGATGACGCTGATGATGATGACGATGGTTATGATGATGATGCTGATGATGCTGCTGCTGATAATGATGATAATGATGATGATAATGCTGATGGTGATGATGCTGATGCTGCTGCTGATGATGATGGTGGTGGTGGTCATGATGATGATGATGACGATGATGGTGCTGCTGCTATTGATAATGATGATGATGATGCTGATGACGATGACGATGATGATGATGATGATGATGATGATGATGATGATGATGATGCTGATGCTGGTGATGATGATGATGATGATGATGCTGCTGATGCTGCTGCTGATGATGATGTTATTGTTGCTGTCGTTGTTGTTGTCGTTGCTGTTGTTGGTGTTGCTGTTGTTGATGATGATGATGGTGATGATGGTGATGATGATGATGATGATGATGAGGAGGAGGAGGATGATGATGCTGATGATGCTGCTGCTGATGAAGATGACGATGATGATGCTGATGCTGATGCTGATGCTGATGCTGATGATGATGATGATGATGATGCTGATGATGATGATGATGATGATGATGATGATGATGATGATGATGATGCTGGTGGTGGTGGTGGTGGTGTGGTGGTGATGATGATGATGATTATGATGATGATGATGATGATGATGATGATGATGATGATGATGATGTGATGATGATGGATGATGATGATGATGATGATGATGATGATGATGATGATGATGATGATGATGATGATGATGATGATGATGATGATGATGATGATGATGATGATGATGATGATGATGATGATGATGATGATGATGATGATGATGATGATGATGATGATGATGATGATGATGATGATGATGATGATGATGATGATGATGATGATGATGAGGAGGAGGAGGAGGGGAGGAGGAGGAAGTGGAGGAGGAGGAGGAGGAGGGAGGAGGAGGAGGAGGAGGAGGATGGGAGGAGGGAGAGGAGGAGGAGAGGAGGAGGAGGCAGGAGGAGGAGCAGCAGGAGGAGGAGGAGGAGGAGGAGGAGGAGAGGAGGAGGAGGAGGAGGAGAGGACGAGGACGAGGAGGAGGAGGAGGAGGAGGAGAGGAGGAGGAGGGAGGAGGAGGAGGAGGAGGAGGAGGAGTAGGAGAAGATGGAGGAAGAGTGGGAGGAGCAGGCGGGTGGTGGAGGCGAAGCAGGAGGGAGGTGGAGGAGGAGGATGACCAGCATCAGGAAGAAGCGGTCCGTAGCCATATTGGTCCAAGGCTTCGCGTTCTCAAGGCGGAGTTTCTGCCCATCAGCGGGGCTGACCGCCAGTGTCCAGCTACTCGTGAAGAGGTCCGCGCGCTGGTTTCGATGGTGCGTTTTGGGCGGTTTTTGGACGCCAGCGGCTCAGTGTCTTACGGCATTCAGCAGCCTGACGGTTCCTTCAACTACGCAGAGGGCTGTCCGTTTGCTTCAACATTAAAGGACACAGGCAAGAAGGCAGTGTTAACGCGTTGTCTGCCGCCGGTTCAGCCCGTAGAAGTCATATGCATCGGCCTCAACTACCGCAAGCACGCCGACGAGCTGAAGCTGCCGTACCCAAAGAACCCGGTTGTGTTCCTGAAGCCAGTGACCACCGTGACGGGCCATGGCGCCGAGGTGGTGAAACCGCGCGTGACGCAGAAGATGGATTACGAGGTGGAGCTGGCAGTCGTCATCGGCCGCGCCTGCAAGGACGTGACCCCCGAGGGGGCGCTGGACTACGTCCTCGGCTACACCTGCGCGAACGACATCTCCACGAGGGACTGGCAGAAGGTCCCCGAGCTGGCCGGCAGCCAGTGGTGCCGCTCGAAGATGTTCGACGGGTTCGCCCCGCTCGGGCCAGTGGTGACCACGAGGGACGAGCTGCCCGACCCAGGCAAGCTCCGCGTACGGACGTGGCTCAACGGGGAGCAGGTCCTTACCAGCCCGGAACGTATCCCCATCCCTATGGTTGGCATCGCCGCATCTCGATGCCAATCTTAAGGATTCCCTGAGGTTCTGAGGGCGCATCCCTAAGATTGTCATTTCCTTCCAGCTTGTCAATCTTAGGGATGGGGATCAGTTCGTGGCTGGTTAGGTCCAGGACTCCAGCACAAGCCTGGCGGTGCGCACCTGGGGGGTGGGCGCGAGGGGGGAGGGGCGGCCTGTCGAGGGGGCGCGGGGTGGGGCCTTCTCAGAAGACCAGGGGCCCTGGTTCGACTGCCAGAGCCAAAGGGGACAGGTCTACCAGCTAAAATGGGAAGAAGCGCACATCGTTTCAGATCCCGTGCTTGTTCAATGTTCTTGGTCTCCCATGGCCCTGCTGCAGAGCTTCTTGGGAGCCTCTTGGGGCTCGCTGCAGTCAGGGGGCCTTCTCAGAAGTCCCTGAAGGCTTCTAAGAAGCCACCTGCCCTCTCAGGAGCCCTCGCGCCCCCCCCTCCCCCCTCGCGCCGCCCGCTTGTGCGCTCCGCCAGCGAGCGACCTGATCTTCAGCGTGCAGCAGTGCATCAGCTTCCTGTCGATCGGCACCACGCTGCAGCCGGGCACCGTGATCCTAACTGGCACGCCCGCTGGCGTCGCCGAGGAAGGGGGGAGAATGGAGGGCGGAGGGCGGAGGGAGGAGGAGAAGGAGGAGGAGGAGGAGGAGGAGGAGGAGGAGGAGGAGGAACAAGGGGGAGGGAATGGAGGAGGCAGGAGGACTTGGAGCAGGAATGTCCGCGGGGAATGAAGTACGGAGGAGGTAGTGGAGCAGGAGAAGGTGGAGGGATGGAGGGAGGGAGCGAGGGTGATGATGATGGTGGTGGTGGTGGAGGAGGAGGAGAAAAAAGGAAGGGAGGCTTATAGTGGCAACAGGCTAGGGATACATGAGCAGGGCGCAAGACGTAAGATGGGAAGAGGGAACGAGTGATGAAGGAACGTAGTAAGGGGCAAGGAAGAACAGGAAGAGGAGGAGGAGGAGGAGGAGGAGGAGGAGGAGGAGGAGGAGGAGGAGGAGGAGGAGGAGGAGGAGGAGGAGGAGGAGGAAGAGGAAATACATGGCAATACGTTCTCTGGAGAATTCTGGGGCGCCCTTGGGGGAGGGGATGCACGACGGAGGAGGGCTGCGTGAGGAGGGGAGAGTAGCAGCGAGGAGGTCGCAAGAAGGACTGGAGGCAGGGGGAGCGGACGGGGGGAGGCAGGACAGGGGGCCAGGGACGCAGCCCGCAGCCCTGGCTGCAGCCTGGCGACCGTGTGGCCGTGGAGGTGTCGGCGGCCACAAAGGGTACTCCAGATTTCGTAATAAAGGGAGGGGGGTCTCATTTCGGGGGGGGGGTTCTTCCAGGCTATCTTGGAGGGCCTGGGGGGTCTCGGGACGATGTTTTGGAGGGTTCTCCCACGGGGGAGGTCTGAAATGGCTTGTCTTGGAGGGTCCAGACCCCCTTTTATTACGAAATTTGGAGTATGGTCACGCCAGGGGGTGGTTTGCAATTGGCGCCGTTTGGGCTCAGGTCGACAAACAACCAAAAGCCACCACCCCAATCGCGGCCCTCCACGTTGCGCTACGGCCCGGGGGCCGCAGCGTATACCACGCAAAAGCCCGAGCCATATTTCCTGGTATATGCTCAGGCTCGTGGGGCCGTAGGTGGGGTGGTGTCGCTTGTTTTCTGGCCCATCAGGGGTCACCCCTGCGCCAAAGGTTTGACGAGCCCTCGTCTGGGCGCCGCAGAGATCCCTGCCGATGTCCTCGCCCGCCCTCCCCCGGGCGCGGGTGGCAGACCACACCCTCTGCAAACCGCACCCTTCGGAGCCGCCGAAGGTGGAGGGCGTCGGCAGGCTGGAGAACACCGTCGTGGCGGACCCTTCGCCAGCGGCCTGCTTCTACGTCCCGTCCAAGCTGTGACCCCCCGCGCGCGCCGGGGGCCCCCTCGGCGCACCGCGGCGCACCACCGCGGGTGCGCGCGGCGTTCCCACGGGGGGGGGGGGGGGCGGGACCTCCCGGGCGGCGCCGCCGCCCCCTCGCGGCCTTGACGGCGAGAGAGGGGAAGAGAGAGAGGCCCCAGGATGGCGCCCGAGCATGCCTCCAAGCCTCCAGCAGGCGATCGATCGGCGGCGAGCTCCGAGCCCTACCCTCGAACGTCCAAGGTACAGGCAGCTCGATGGGCGGCGGGAGTGGGGTTCGGAGCTCGCCGAACACGCGGTGAAAGCCGAACGAGCCCTAACCCCCACCTCCCATCGACTCGGGAGAATCGATGGCTGGTGGGGGAAAGGTTCGGATGTCGCCACCTAGCCAAGAGTCTCCCAGGAGCCCCGAAGAGTTTCCCAGGAGATCCCGAGAGACCCTCGAAGACGTCCCCGCGTCGGAAGTCGTAGTGATGATTGCTTTCCCACCCGAAGATGGCTCCCGAGATTGCCATCAAGGACCCGATAAGCGCCCATGAACTCACAGACGCGCAGAGACAAACACATACGCACACACAGGCGCACATACAGTTGCACAGACGAGCACATACATACATAGTGTAAGGAAACGTGTACACACGCACACACACACGCACACTGTTCGGAACCATGTCCGAACGGTACACACAAAATCAGTATGGGTGTGCACACACATACTTACACATGCACATGCACATGGACATGCACACGTACACACGTACACACGTACACGCATACGCATGCACACGCACATACACCCATACACATACACATGCACATTCACAACTACACACATACACATACACATACACATACACCTACACCTACACCTACACCTACACCTACACCTACACCTACACCTACACCTACACCTACACCTACACCTACACCTACACCTACACCTACACCTACACCTACACCTACACGTACACGTACACGTACACGTACACGTACACGTACACGTACACGTACACGTACACGTACACGTACACGTACACGTACACGTACGTACACACGTACACGTACACGTACACGTACACGCACACGTACACGTACACGTACGTACACGTACACGTAACACGTACACGTACACGTACACTACGTACACGTACTACACACGCACACGCACACGCACACGTACACGTACACGTACACGTACACGTACACGTACACGTACACGTACACGTACACGTACACGTACACGTACACGTACACGTACACACGTACACGTACACGTACACGTACACGTACACGTACACGTACACGTACACGTACACGTACACGTACACGTACACGTACACGTACACGTACACATACACATACACATACACATACACATCCACAAACACATATACATCCGTATACATATATGTAAACATATATACATATATTTACACATACACATACACACAGACACGCATACACACATACACATCCACATACACATACACATGCACATACCCATACACATACACCTACACCTACACATACACCTACACAAACACACACATGCACATATATGTACATCTATTCCCGCACACGCAGTCCAGAACCGTTCAGACCTGTGTTGTCAAACAGTCCCGATTCCTGATCAGAATGCGGGGGGGGGTCCCCTGGGGGCAGGCGGAGCTGGAGCGACAACCCTAGAGATATTAGTGGATACCCGTTCCCAATCCGAGACGGGAATTTACACATGACCACCGCCTGGAGGATCAATTTTCGGGTACCTCGGCAGGCGGTGGATATGGATATTTTCGGGCCCCCGGGGGCCAAAATATATCCATATCCACCGCCCGCTGGGGCACCAGGACGTCGGTTCCCTGGCGGTGGATATGGATAAATCCTCGCCTCGCACCAAGCAGCTCAAAGACTCCCTTCGGTGAGCCAGCCTAGGAATGGGACGCCCCCCCCCCTCACGCGATAGGTTCGAAGGCGGCGCCGCCTCCGAAGGAAGAAGGCCCAGCACCCCTAGTGGTGCATGCCCTAGCCTCGAGGCTCCCACAGGCCTTCAAACAGAAAACGGGTCGCAAGGTTCCAGTCCCGGAGTATCCAGCTGCCTGCGGCAAACCCCGCCATCGTGATTGTGCAACAGCGCAGCAGGACTGAGACTGCGTGTAGGAGCACAAGCAGTGGCAGAAACATGAAAAATGGGAGGTCCGCGTGGATTGATGGGCCGATTTCCCACAAACACTACCTTAGGAAAGACGGGAGAAGTGAGGATGGGAGGAGGAGGAGGAGCAGGAGGAGGAGGAGGAGGAGGAGGAGGAGGAGGCCCCGAGGTCTTCGTCGGCCGCGCGGCGGAGCCCGGCGTTCGGCATCCGCCGAACCCTGCCGGTCGCCGCGCATCTCGACGACTGGTCGGTGCTGCGACGGGTCGTGGCCTCGACCTCGTTTCTGTGCGCGCGGCAGGGCAGGCGCGCCCTGCTGCAGTGCAGCGAGCGGTCTGAACCGAGGCGGGTCTTGAACTCGGTCTCATCTTCGTCCCTGCGGTAGGGAGCACGAGGAGCAGGAGGAACAGGAGGATGAGGACGAGGAGGAGGAGGGGCAGGAGGAGGAGGAGGAGGAGGAGGAGGAGGAGGAGGAGGAGGAGGAGGAGGAGGAGGAGGAGGAGGAGGACGGGGTCCCCAATTTTTTGTTATTACTGGGACGCCTCTTCTTCAGAACTCCCTCCCCCACTTGATTTCTGATACTTTTGCTTGTTTTCTTGTCGGTGTGCTGTTGTTTTTTTGGTGTTGTGTTTTGGTTGTTGTTGTTTGTTTGTTGATATTTCCTCCCCCTCTTTCTCCCTGACGACACCTATTCCCGACCCTCCTACCCGTCATCGCACACACAACCACATGAAGCATTGATTGAGACATTTTCCCACATCGCTGATATTCACATTCAGCGTCACTCGTGACTCCTCCTCTTGGTCCCCATCACCGCCCCCCTCTCCTGCCCTCCTCGGCGTTTTGAGCCTCCTCTGCCGCGCCGCCAAAAGTTCGCTGCAGCAGGAATGCCCCCCCCCCTTCCCTCCCCCCTTCCCGCGTGCCCCGCAAGGCCACGGCCCGGAGCTCCGCCGCGGCCCAGAGCTCTGGGCATCGGCGCTGGAGGCCCACTGGGGGGGGGGGGGAGCTGCCCCCCTTTTCCTGCTCCGTCGATCGGGGCCCTCATACCAGAATCTCCGACGATATTCGGCACGATCGAAATGGGTACGGAAAGAATGGGTACGATGTCCAACAGCAGTTCCTGTCCATTCTGATCAGGGTTCGCTGTCGGCGTCGCCGTGAACGTTGCTGTTTGAGGCAAAAAGTCGCCTGCCCAACAGCGGCCGCTGTCGATTTTGTGTATCGTACCCATTTTTCCTAAGCACTTTGTGTTGAGCTTGGTCCTCGTTTTGAGGGGACATCGCCCCGCGTCACTCTCCTCCCCTCCTCTTCTCATCCCCCTCCTCCCTCCTCCCACCCTTGCCTCTGCGCCCCGTATGTTCTCATCACGATCACCGTCATCATCATCATCAATATTATCATTATCATCGTCTTCTTCTTCATCATCATCATCATCATCATCACTATTATCAGCATCATCATCACAATCATTATCATCGCCGTCATCACCATCGTCATCATCACCAGCAGCACCACCTTTATCATCATCATTATCGTTATCATCAGCGTCAGCATCGTAATTTCCATCAACATCATCATCGTCATCATCATCGTCATCATCACCATCATTATCACCTCCACGATTCATCATCATCACCACCACCATCATCGTCACCATCGTTCTCATCATCGTCATCGTCATCCTCATCGTCATCCTCATCCTCATCATCATCATTCCCACCAGCATCATCAGCATCACCATCATCATCACTATTATCATCACCATCACCAGCACCAATATCAACATCAACATCAACATCACCATCATCATCAACATCATCATCATCATCATCATCAGTATCATCATCATTATTATCAACATCATCATCATCATCATCGTCATCCACATGACCATCATCATCACCACCATCATCATCACCATCGTAATCGTCATCGTCACTGTCATCGTCGTCGTCATCATCATCATCATCACCATCACCATCATCACCACCATCTTCTTCATCACCACCATCGTCATCATCATCATCATCATCATCATCATCATCATCATCATCATCATCATCATCATCATCATCATCATCATCATCATCATCATCATTACCACCATCACCATCACCAGCAACCACAGCTTCAACATCATGATAATCATCGCCGTCATACCCCCTCCTCTTTCACGTGTCTGCTTCGGCACACCCCTCACATGATTCGTGGCCCTTTAGGGAGCTCCACTTGACGCCCCGGTGGCTGCGCCCGGAATTCGGGCACCCCTTAATTTTGGTACACGCCTCACACGTTTCGCGGTCCCATAGGGAGCTCCACCTAAGGCCCCAGTGGCTGCGCCCGCATGCTGCCACGCCCTCATGTTGGCACACCCCTCACACGTTTTGTGGCCCCGTAGGGAGCTCCACCTACGGTCCCAGTGGCTTCGCCGGCATGCCTCCACCCCTCTACTTTGGTACACGTTTCGCACGTTTCGTGGTCCCATAGGGAGCTACACCTAAGGACCCAGTGGCTGCGCTCACATGCCGCCACCCATCTCACTTTGGAACACCCCTCACACGTTTCGTGGCCCCGTAGGAAGCTCCACCTAAGGCCCCAATGGCTGCGCCCACATGCCGCCATCCCCTCTACTGTGGTACACGCCTCACACGTTTTGTGGTTCCACAGGGAGCTCCACCTAAGGACCCAGTGGCTGCGCCCGCATGCCGCCACGCCCTCATGTTGGCACACCCCTCGCACGTTTCGTGGCCGGATGGGAAGCTCCACCTAAGACCCCAATGGCTGTGCCCGCATGCCGCCACCATCTTCACTTTGGCACAACCCTCACACGTTTCGTGGTCCCACAAGGAGCTTCACTTAGGCCCCAGTGGCTGCGCCCGCATGCCGCTACCTCCCTCACTTTGGCACACACCTCATCTCTCTTCACACATTTCGCGGCTCCGTCGGGGGCTCCACCGATGACAGTTCTCACACGGGCAGTACCCAGAACTGCATATGGCTGGGTCCTTCGCCAAACTAATTTCCGTATACCATCTCGGGCATGCGTTTTTTTTGTGTGTGTGTGTGTGTGTGTGTGTGTGTGTGTGTGTGTGTGTGTGTGTGTGTGTGTGTGTGTGTGTGTGTGTGTGTGTGTGTGTGTGTGTGTGTGTGTGTGTGTGTGTGTTTTCCTCAATCTCGGCGGTTTTCTCTCGGTCTTCGGGAGCCGTTGTCGGGCCCTGGGATCATCAACAACGGATTTGGGACGAAAGGCTACCCCCGGGGAAGGGGCTGGAAGCCCTGGGGCCGCCTGTCGAGAACATCACATCGGCGGATCTGAGAATCCGCGCCCTCAGCTTCCCTCCTCCCTCCCTCCCTCCTCCTTCCTCTCCCTCCTCCCGCCTCGCTCCTCCTCCTCCGCCCTCTCTTCCCTCCTCCCTGCAGTCTTACTTTAGCACCGCTGATGTGACCTTGTCCCCCTCCGTCCAGCCTTCCCTCGCTAGCCTTCCCAACTTCCTGACACCGCCCTCCCACACGCTTCCGCCTCCATCTCCTCCTCGTCCTCCTCCTCCTCTTCCGCCTTGTCCGTTCCCCCACGTCAAGAGTCGAACGGGCCATTCGTCTTCTGGCTGTGAAGTCCATATGGGCCAAGTAGGAAAGGGGCCTGCTCCGCGGACATTCGCGCGCAAGCTGCCAGCGTACGGTCGCGCGAGAGCGCCCTTCAGGATCGGTGTGTGCGGCCTCCTGGCGCCAGCCTGGAGAGCGTATGCGCCGACCTTGGGCCCAAGATGGGCCTGGCCAGGATCGGCATGGGTTCAGAGCTGGCGTTCTCCTGATCAGCCACGCGCAGAGGGGGGTATGGGGGAGGGGGGAAGGCTTCTTGGAAGCACCCCTGCTTGGAAGGCGAGGGCCTTCTGCATATATATATATATATATATATATATATATGTGGCGCCTTCTAAGAAGCAGCCTCTTTCTAAGAAGCCTTCCCCCTTCCCCCTACCCCCCTTTGTGCGCGCCGCCAACCTGAGGTAGTCCTGGAGGAGCCTCTCTGCAGCGACGAGGAGTCCCTCTACGGCACGGTCAGGCAGCATGCGATCCTCTCCGACTGCATGAGCAGACGCGGCGTGCTGCTGATCGGGCCCCGTTATGGCGTGCTGCAGAGCCCTGTTATGGCCGCCCTAACTTTGGGTGGGGGAGGACGGGTAGTTGTCTGCCTGCCGCCAGGAAGGAGGCGGGTCCTGATGTTTCTCGCTGTAGAAGGGCTCTCGGGGCCCTCCCCGGGCCCCAGGACTGTCAGAAGCGGTTCAGGATGAACAGCGGGTCCTGCTGGAACGTCACGGGGTCCTGGATCCGTTGTCCTCGGAACCGTTTCCTTTCTGCCACTGCCAGGGGAAAGTTTAGGGGGGGGGATAGGCTCACGTGGCATGCATCGGCTTCTCCTCGCCCGTGAATAGCCGACGGGGGCCCGATGGCCCACTCCGCCCAGCACCGTGCGGATTCGCTACGGGGGGGCCTATCGCCGGTCTCTCTGCGATGTATCGCCAATGCCAGGTCGATGTTCCCTCCAGTCGCAGGCCTAGAGGTTGACACCAACACCAGTATCGGCGGTGTGCCTCCACCGAGGGACGAAGATCCCGGTCTCGATGTGGTGGTAATATTCTAGCTTCCAAGGTGACCGAAATCTAGGATCTTCTTCCCCCTGTGGAGGCAACCCCTGTTGGTGTCGGTGCCCATTTCCAGGCCTCCAGTCTAGGAGGCCACTCCCCCCTTTCCCCTCAAGTTGGATGAGAATCTGGAAGGCCCAGAAGGGGGCGGAAAGAGTAGAGATGAAGACTGAGAGCAGTTGCTGCCCGTTTCTGAACAGGGCTCGCTGTCGGTGTCGCTGCGGGCGTTGTGCCCGTTTGGTGCAAACGTCGCCTGCCCAACAGCGGTCGCTGTCGGTTTTGCAGAGCACTCGCTGTTGTTCATCGTCCCCGTCTGTTCTGCTCCTTTTCTGGGCTCGCCAATCGAAGTCGGAGGCTGGATGTTACACGTATCCACCGCCGGGATGAGGGTCCAGACAATTTGTTGTTTTTCGGTTATGAGAATTCATTGTCTCGGGGTTCGAAACATATTCTGGGCCAAGCACATTTATTCCAGGGCCCGCCGTGTGAGACATTCTCAGATAACGCCCCCACATGTGGCCTTGATTGCTGGTTGGCAGGCTGGCTGGCTGGCTGCCGGGGCAACCCATTTGTTTCTGGAGTGGTTGGCTGGTTGTTTGGCTGGCTTGTTGCTGGATCAACGAACATTTAATCCAGGTCCCGCGGTGTGGGACATCTTCAAACATGCCACGGGAATGGCTGGTTGGCTGGTTGGCTGGTTGGCTCGCTGGTCATCTCGCTGTTTGGTTGATAGGTCGGCTGGTTTGTTGGTTGATCGGCTGGTCACTTTGGCGTTTGTTGGTGGTCAACTCGTTATTGGCTTATCCGTAAACGACATCTCGTCCAATTGCGATTGCAATGCAACGCAATGCGCTGCACTGCACTGCAATGCGATGCAAGCGCAACCCAATGCCAGTGCACAAGCCAACGCAGTGCAGTGCGGCTATATCTCGATGCGTTGCAGCGGAGACGGACATCCTACGCGTTGCGTGGCAGCTCTGCGGGGCAGAAGAGGTACGATTCCACTCTACAGTCAACGCGCCTAGTAAGGACGCGCGCCTTCATCTAGGGTACCCTTGTGTCATTGCCTCTAAGGGACCGTCCTTGCCATTATCACTGGTCACCCGCCGCCCTAGAAAGCCCAACTTCGGCCTCCAAGGGTCCTGCGTCCTTATCACCCGTCCTTAATGCACGTTTTGACTGTACATGCAGTGTGGCAACGCTGGGGAGGCGGGGTGGGGGCGAGCAGACGATGCGATTCCACGCCGCTCGCCCACGTGGCCACGCCTGGGGGAGCGAAGACGCTGGACGTTCCACTCTGCTCGTCGCGCGGCCGCGCCCGCGGGGGCCGAGAGCGCTACACGATGCCTCGCCGCTCGCCGCGTGGCACCGCCCGGGAGCCAGACGGTGCAGTGCCATTTTGAATACATGTTCCGCGTGCGGATCATTCATTAAACATGCAGGGATTTGGTATTTAAAACAACGATGAGATCATGCATACATTTATTCATACATTAATCATGTAGTAACATCCCAATTTAAAAACAAAAAATCAGATGTATTAAAAACTGCCCTGTGCTCTGCTCGCATACTTACTCTCCACGAGGCAGCGCCGCGGAGACGAGAAAACCTGAAGTTCTGCTCCGCTCGCCACGCGGGAACGCCGGGGGGACAGCGGACTCGGCTTGCCGCGCGGCAGCGCCGTGGACGACGACCACGGCGACGAAGGCGACCACGACGACGACGCCGAAGCCGACGACGACTACGACGCCGGCGCCGACGCCGACGCCGACGCCGAGGCCGACGCCGACGCAGCCGACTACGACTACGACGTCTCCGCCGCCGCCGATTACGACGACGGCGGTGACGATGACGGTGACGATGACGACGGCGGCGACGACGCCGCCGCCGCCGACGACGACGACGACGGACGACGGACGACGGACGACGACGACGGACGACGGACGACGGGCGACGACGGACGGCGGACGACGGACACGAACGACGACGACGACGATGACGACGACGACGACGACGGACGACGGACGACGAGGACGAAGACGGACGACTGACGACTGACGACGGACGACGGACGACGGACGACGGACGACGACAGATGACAGACGACGACGATGCCGCCGACGACGGCAACGATGTCGACGGGGACGACGACGAGGACGACGACGATGACGACGAGGACGACGACTACAACGACGACGGACGACGGACGACGGACGACGGACGACGACAGACGACGGACGACGACGACGACGACAACGATGTTGACGGCGACGACGACGATGACGATTACGACGACGACGACAAGGACGACGACGACAAACACGCAAATGACGACGTCGACGTCGACGGAATGCAATGACGTGGGATGGGATTGGATGGGATGGGATGCGATGGTATGGGATGGGACGGAATGCAATGACGTGGGTGGGATTGGATGGGATGGGATGCGATGGTATGGGATGGGATGGAATTGACTCAATTGAATGCATTGGACTGCGATGGTTTTGACTGGAATAGGGCGGATCGAAACGGAGCCACTTCTGCCTATAATTAGGTGCTCCTGCTCTCATTCCGTTTCATTCTGTTCCGAACCGATCCATTTTATTCTCATCCATTCCATTCCGTTCCGTTCCGTTCCGTTCCTTTCCACTCCACTCCGTTCCATTGCATTCCATTCCATTCCATTCCATTCCATTCCATTCCATTCCATTCCATTCCATTCCATTCCATTCCATTCCATTCCATTCCATTCCATTCCATTCCATTGCATTCCATTCCATTCCATTCCATTCCATACCACATTATATTCCATTCCATTCCGTTCCATTCCATTCCATTCCGTTCCATTCCATCGCATCCAGACCCGCATCCCATCCCATCTCATTCCGTCCCATCCCAGCCCAGCCCAGCCCAGCCCAGCCCAGCCCAGCCCATTCCATCCGTTCCATTCCGTTCCATTCCATTCCATTCCATTCCACTCTATTCCGCTCCATTCCACTCCATTCCACTCCACTCCACTCCACTCCATTCCATTCCATTCCATTCCATTCCGTTGTCGTCGTCGTTTCGTTGTCGTCGTCGTCGTCGTCGTCGTCGTCGTTTCGTTCTCGTCGCCGCCGCCGCCGCCACCCCCGTCTCCGCCCCCGTCGTCGTCGTCGTCGTCGTCGTCGTCGTCGTCGTCGTCGTCGTCGTCGTCGTTGTCGTGGTCCAGTCGCCGGGTCAAATAGATATGTTTCAGGTTGATTGGGCGGTTGGTTGGTTCGTTGGTCGGTTGGTTGCCTGGCTGGCATGTTCCGAGGGGGGGGTCCTGGGGGAGGTAGCGGCTAGATCCGAGAGGGGTCCTTGGGACCCCCCGAAACATTTTGGGGATGCCCAAATCATTAAGAAAACGCCAGATGGGGAACCGCCCCCCCCCCGCCTCTCCCCTTCCCCGGGGGGGGGGTCTGGATGCGCAAATCATGCAGAAAACGCCAGAAGGGGGACCGCCCCCCCCCCCCCCTTCCCCGGCAGAGCTACCCTGGCCCCCCCCCCAAGCAGAGCTGGAGCTCTTGCTTGGGCTCAGAGCTGAAGCTCCTGCCGAGGCTCTCCCTGCAGCTCACGCGCCGGACCGGCGGATTTTTCCGACCGTCGGAACTTCCACCGCCTGGGGAATCGATGTCCCAGGACCCTAGTCGATATGGACATCGTTGAGGTGGCATCCCTCGAACGTGTGCATTTGTTCCCGGCGAGGACCATCGAGGAGCATGCTGCTCACCTTGGGCAAAAAGCGCGCACGAAACCGAACAATGCACAGGGCATGGACGTCCGAGCGCTGGCGAGTTGAGGTGGCGGCCCGGTGGAGGCGCCCAGCGTCCTCTCCTCCCCCCGGGGGGCTGCCCCCTTCGGGGGCCTCCCGGGCTCCGCCCTCGGCCTGTGCAGGCCCGCCCCCGCGGTTTCCCCCCCCCCCTGGAGCAGGCGGAGGGCCCCCCCCCCGAAGCCAGGGGAGTCCGGGGGTGCCTCGGAGGCGCCAGGCTGGCCCCAAGGCGGGAGCTTTGAGGCGGGGCGTCAACGCAATCGGGGGTCAGCCAGGAGCGCCAGATCCTGCAGGATCCTGCAGGGCCAGGCTCCCACTGACCCGGGTTTGGGTGCAGGATCTTGCAGGATCTTGCAGGATCCTCCGCACTAGCCCGGGTTTGGGTGCAGGGTCTTGCAGGATCTTGCAGGATTCTGCAAGCCCTGGCTGACCCGGGTCTGGGTTGACCCGGGTCAGGACATCCCCGACCAAGAGGACCCCCAGCCTGCTATAGCCGTGCAAACATCAGTGGAACCATTTTTGTTGGTTATGTTTTCTTGTTTTTTTTGCGTTCTCTGCCATATTCTGTCTGCTCTTAGTTGAGTCTAGCTCCAAGAGGGTTTGTTTTGGCTGAGCCAGAGAGCACCCACAAGGTCCCAAAGAGGGTTCAAGATCGGCCAGGAACGCCCCAAGAGGGTCCCGAGACAGCCGAAGAGAGCGTTCCTGAGAGCCCAAGACCCAAGACGGCCAAAGAGACCCTCAAGGCCGCTCTCAGTCAGCCCCAAGATGGCCTTGGACGGCCCGGCAAGAACGTGAGAGAGCTCAACTGGGTCTAAGATGGCCAATGATCACTTGGAAAGGCTACGACAGTTGTTCAGGGGATTCGAATACGGATGGCTCCATATGGCCCAAGACGACCCCATGCCTCATGAGAGAGCTCTTCGGTGGAATGAAATGATGATGAGGATGAGGAGGAGGAGGAGGAGGAGGGCCAGTGTAAACCCAAGAGTCATCAACGATGTTGGAGTACCCCTCCTTCCAAGTTCCCTCTTCATAGGCCCAATACAACGGTACATTTCCATTGATGGAACTGCCTTGATGGAAGACACCCGTTGAAGACCCTGAAGCATGCCAAAACATCGCTTTCGGGATTCCAACGCCATGGATCAACCTGACTGTTGCGTCTTGGCGATCCTGAGTCGTGCCAGAACGCCATTCGTAGGACTTCGACACAGATAATCAACGTAACTGTCCAGCCCGCATAACCCTGAGTCCACCAAAACACCATTTCTCGTACGTTGATGATTGAAACCCGTGAAACTTTTGCAAATGTTTAAAACGAATGTGCTCCGCGCTAAGGCGAGAGCCACATTTTGAAAAGGGACCGCCGTCAATGCGTGAAACTCTTGCAAATTTTGAAAACGAATGTGCGCCGCGCTAAGGCGAGAGCTACAGTTCGAAAGCCATTCGCCTGCAATCCGTGAAGCTCTTGCAAATTTTGAAAACGAATGTGCATGGTGCTGAGGCGAGAGCTACATACATTTTGAAAACCACCGGTCCACAATGCGTGAAACTGTCGCCAACTTTTAAAAGGAATGTGCGCCGCGTTCAGGCGAGAGCCACATTTTGAAAACCACCCGCCCTCAATGCGTAAAGTTCTGGCAAATTTTAAAATCGAATGTGCGCGCCGCTAAGGCGAGAGCCACATTTTGAAAACCACCCGCCCTCCGTTTGTGAAATGGTTGTCAATTTTTACGCTTCAGGGGGCCGCAAAGGATGAGGAAGTCTCCGGCGAAACGCCCGGCCCGCCCTACAAACGGGCCTCGGGGTGCGACAGGGAGAAGTTACTTATAAGGAAAAGGAATGAAGGAGGAGGAGGGGGAGGAGGAGGAGGAGGAAGAGCAAACAGAGTAGGGGGAGGATCCTCCTTCCCTCTCCTTCCTCATGACTCCTGCGCTCTGGGTTCTCCGCCATCCCCCCTCTCCGGTCTCTCCTGCTCCCGAGTGTTCCCAGAAACCCTTCCGTGAAGACTCCAATCGCTACCTTCCCGGCTTGTCCTCCGTCCTCCTGCAGCTCTTCTCCATAATTCCTCCCCCTTCCGAGTTCCTCCCTCCCAGATTCCTCCACACTCTCCTGTTGTATTGCGAAGGCCTTACGGCCAGTGCAGTCGACCCTGAATGGAGACGACGGCGACAGAGGCGGCGGCGGCGGCGGCGACGACGACGACGACGACGACGACGCTGACGTTGGCCATAGTCCTCTGGGATGCTTCTTAGGGTCTCTTCGGAAGGCCCTCGGGGGCCTCTGAGGAGGAATTTTGGTGCCTCTTGGGAGCCTCTTGGGGGCCTCTTGGGAGCCTCTTGGGGGCCTGTTGGGGCCTCTTGAGAACCTCATAGGGCTTCCTGGGAGCCCGTCGAGGCCGAGGGCTCGAACTGTCCGTTCGGGCACCCCCGTCTGGGCATGCTCTTGGGGCTTTCTTGGGGGCCTCTCGGGCCGTCTTGGAGGCGTTTTGGGCTGTCTTGGGATCCTCTTAGGATGTTTTGGGGCCCTCTTTGAGGACTCTTGGGCCGTCTTGGGGCGATCTTGGTGGCCTCTGTAGCCGTCTTGGAGCGGCGGAAGCGCAAAAGGCGA